ATGGAAGAAACATCCAGCCAAAGCTCTGCCCTTGAGGCACTTTTTTCCCAACCCCTGATTCCCATTCCCCCTCAACTCAAATTTCTGATCACTCAAATCAAGACTTTGGTTTCTACTCCCTTAACATCCGAAAACTACCCATTATGGCGCTCTCAAATTGAGAAGATATTCTCGGCCAATGGATTTATGGGTTTTCTTGATGGATCAATCAAATGTCCATCTATGGAGTCATCGTCTTCTCAAAACGATCGTGGATCTACATACCAAGTCTGGTCTTTTCTGGATCAGAATCTTGCTTCCGCTCTGCTTTCGGTCATCTCTGTCTTCATTCTGCCTTATGTTTTATCTTTAAAACATTGCGCTGAGATTTGGGCTATCTTGTCTCATCGCTTACAAGCATCCACCCGATCGAGTGTAGTCCAGCTCAAGAACGAACTTTATCAAATGACCAAAGGAGATCAGACAATGACTCAGTATCTACTCTCGGTAAAATCCAAAGTAGATGCTATTGTGGCTGCCGGAAGCTCTATTGACTCCGAGGAAATCATTTTTCATACCCTCAATGGTCTTCCTGCGAAGTACCAATCGTTCAAATCTGTGATTCGCACAAATATGCAGCCACTCTCTCTCGACGATCTTTATACACTTCTGTGCAGTGAAGAGTTGAACCTTGCACATGAGGCCTCCAAAGAATTGCAATCTTTACAAATTTCTGATCCCACTCTGGCATTGTCGGCCTACCGCGGCAAAGGACGTGGAAGACAACAGGCTTCCAGTCGTGGAAGACCTTCAACTCAACAACGAACAAATCGTTCGTCAAATCTGTCAACACCTTCGTCTCAAAGAAATGATCGGTAGACGTATCGTAACACCATATGTCAGATATGTTCCAAGCAAGGGCACTCTGCTGTCAAATGTTGGTATCGACATGATACTAACTACCAAGAAGGATCTCAAACTCAAGCTCTATTCAGTCCTGCCGATTCAACCACTCAGACTGACTGGTTCTTGGACTCTGGCGCGTCGACACACCTGACTTCCAACGCGTCCAATCTTCGCTCTACAGAACCTTATCATGGACAGTCTCAAGTTACCATCGGTAATGGTCAGCAATTACCAATTCAGTATACAGGTAAAGGCATCCTACCTACTCCTTCAGGTAATCTACAACTCAATAAACTACATCAAGTTTCGAATCTTTCTTTCAATTTACTGTCTGTTCTCAATTAACTCACGATAACTCGTGCACCGTAACGTTTTCTTCTTCTGGTTACCAAATTAAGGATTTGAAGACCAAGCGGGTTCTACTACAGGGACCATGCCATAATGGTCTTTACGCCGTTCGGTCGTCTGTCCCGACATCTAGCCTGGCGCTTCTTGCGGTTCAAACCGTGCAAGATCTGTGGCATTCCCGACTGGGTCATCCAGATTCGAATAAAATTTGCATTCTGGCTAAATACAATCCAGAAATTCATACAAATATTACTTCCAAGTTTTGTCATACTTGTAATTTAGCCAAAAGCAAACGTTTACATTTTTCAGTTTCTAAGTCTAATACTTTAGCTCCTTTCGATCTTGTTCATTCTGATGTTTGGGGACCGTCTCCCACTAAATCTCTAAATGGTTTTGCATATTATGTCTCTTTTATTGACGATTTTTTGCATTTTTGCTGGGTTTTTCCGCTGATTCATAAATCGGAGGCGTATTCTAATTTTTTTGAATTTTATACTATGGTTAAATGTCAATTTGCTTCTACTATCAAAATTCTTCGCACGGATGGCGGAGGAGAATACTTGAATCATAATTTTCAAAATTTTTGCAAAACTCATGGTCTTTTACACCAATACACTTGCCTTTACACGCCTGCACAAAACGGTATTGCAGAACGTAAACATAGACACATTATAGAAACGGTTCGCACACTACTTCTTCACTCTTCCGCTCCCCACATACTCTGGACTCATGCTTTACTCACTGCGGTTCATATTCTAAACATTCTTCCTTCACGTGTTTTAAACAATAAGACTCCATACGAAATCTTGTTCAATCATAAGCCGAGTTACACGCACATCAAAACATTCGGGTGCTTATGCTATCCTTGGCTCCGCCCCTACTACAAATCTAAGCTGGGTCCTCTTTCGACACCTTGTGTATTCATCGGATATGCATCTCGTCAAAAAGGATATCACTGTATGGACCCAACCACTAACAAAATCTATACTTCTAGACATGTCGTCTTTACTGAGCATATCTTCCCGTATCACCACACTCAGCAGCCCAAAGGAACTCCTAGCGATCCGGGTAGTATACCTCCTCTACTCTTGGTTCCTGCTTCTTGCATTCTGACTCCCACCAATCGTATACCTGTTACTCATGAAACTACACATCACAGCAGCCCGCTCAATATCACTCAACAATTGCCTGCTTCTCCGGTTAACACTATCACTACTGACACTACGTTTACTGAACGGTCTACTTACCCGCACCCAATGGTTACTCGATCTCGCACTGGGCACCTCAAACCCAAAGCTATTTTTAATCTTACTCACCAACTTACTCCGACTGATCCCACATCTTATACTCACGCCTCCAAATTTCCTCACTGGCGCAATGCTATGTCACTTGAATTTCAAGCTCTTCAATCTCAAGGCACCTGTGATCTTGTTCCTTCCTCTCCGCACATGAACATTCTCGGCTGCAAATGGATGTTCCGCACCAAATACCACTCAAACGGCTTGATATCAAGACATAAGGCTCAGCTGGTGGCTCTCGGTTGCAATCAGGAGTACGGTATAGATTACCACGAAACTTTTAGTCCCGTTGCTAAAATACCTACTTTTCACATACTTATCACTATAGCTTTGCATAATTCGTGGCCTATACATCAATTAGATGTTTCAAATGCATTTTTACATGGCTCTCTAAATGAAACTATTTACATGAAGCAACCTCCAGGGTTTCAAGATCCGACGTACCCTAACTATGTTTGCAAACTCAAAAAGGCTCTTTATGGTTTAAAACAGTCTCCTCGCCAGTGGTTTGCTACGCTTACCGGTCACTTGACTAATCTCAGGTTTGGCATAAGCCATTCAGATCCTTCTTTACTTATTTATAACAAAGCTCATATTCGTCTTTATTTTTTAATATACGTTGACGATATCATTTTTACTGGTAATAATCAAGACATGGTCCAAGACATTCTTCAAAATCTAAATACTTGGTTCAATATGCGCAATCTTGGACAATTATCTCAATTTTTTGGGATTACGGCAGTCATAACCAAAAATGGACTCCTTCATCAGCAAAGGTATGCTCAAACTATTCTTGAACGTGCCGGAATGCTTAACTGTAAGTTTGTTTCCACGCCCATATGCACTAAAGAGACTTCAGCAAGCACTCCGTCTCCAGAGTTTTCCAATCCTCTTCTTTATCGGCAATTGGTAGGTTCTTTGCAATATTTAACCCTCACGCGGCCCGACATTGCCTATGCGGTTAATCGAGCTTGCCAATTCATGCATAAACCAACCGATCAAAATTTTAACTCACTTAAGCGAATTTTGCGTTGCATCAAAGGTTCTACTCATATGGGTTTACCTCTAGATCGAGCGTCTATTTTGCTAACATCTTATGTAGATTCTGACTGCGTCGGCGACCATCACGATCGGAAATCGACGTCCGTATATTGCACGTTCTTAGGCAGCTCCATTGTCGCATGGAGTGTCAAGAAACAGTCTACTGTGGCTCGTTCATCCAAGGAGGCCGAATACAGAGCATTGGCGTCCGCTGCCACAGACGTTATCTGGGCTCGAACGTTGCTTCAAGAACTTGGGTACCCGCAGACAGAACCAACTAAGCTTTACTGTGACAACATCTCCGCCATCGCCTTGGCCAACAATCCGATGTTTCATGCTCGCACCAAACACATCGAGGTGGATTGTCATTACATTAGGGAATGTATCAAAAATCACAGTATAACCGTGCATCACATCTCCACCACCGATCAAATTGCGGATCTATTTACTAAAGCTCTAGTGAGGGATTCATTTCAGCAACTAGCCAACAAACTGATATCAGCTATCCCTTCATCAGTTTGCCCGGGGGTGTTAGAATATAAAAACAAAATAGAAAATGATAATGTAATTTAGTATTTTATTTCTGTTATCTAGAATATTTTGTGTATTTGTTTTTTCTATAAATACTGGTGTAATCTCTCATTTAGTAAGAAGAAAAGTTTATTTCGTTTCTCGTTTCGTTGCCGTCTCTTTCCTCACCGAAGGTCTGTGATATTCAACAATCCACAAGTCATATTTTCATTAGAGTCGGAATGTAGCACTACATCTGATGTGCATAAGCAATTAGGGGTGTCAATTTCGGGGCACGGGTCGGGTTAGAGTCAAACCCGATACTAACCTGGCACTATTCGAGTCAACCTAAACGGGTTTGGGTCAATCCAACATGACCCGAATGACTCGAGGCCGACAAAAAATGGCTAGTTTTCTGATAAAAAAATGGGTCAATCTCTTATTTTCGGGTAAAAATTTGGTCATTTCGGATTTCCAGATAAAAAATGGGTCAATTTCAGATTTATGGGTCAACTCGAATCCGAATCGAATCCACACCCTTTTCGGATTCGAGTTGAACCTAACCCAAAATTTTTTAGAGGAGTTAATGTAGAGTTTGAGATCGTATCATATATTGGAGTTTTTATTGGGTGCCGAGTGCGGACGTAGTTCTGTATGTGCAAACAAGTAGTATCGCGCCACGTGGCGCGATACTACTTGTTTGCACATACAGAACTACGTCCGCACTCGGCACCCAATAAAAACTCCATATATTGACACCACTAATAATTTCTCCTCTCGAGAGCCAATCACGTACAATACAATCGATTCACCGCAGCTATACAATCCAGACAGATCGACGGCTGTGATGCACTTTCATTCAAGGCCCGTCCTCGTCGAGAATTTCCCGTCCTAGTGAAACCAACGAATTGTGCCAGACTTGCCTCGGTGGCATCCACGAACGTTTTAAATGTCAGTCCTCCCTCCCTTTTCTCTCCTTCGGCCACTGTCACCGCCCACCGGCGTTCTAAATACCCAAATCCTCTCCACTCCTCCGGACACTACCATGTCCCTCCTTTCTCCCGCTCCCGCATTTCCCTTCGTCAAGGGTCACCCGAGCCGCCTACGCCTCCCCCTCATAACCACCGCCTCTGCCTCTGCGAGATTCACATCACCAAAGCCGGCGAACTTCCGCCGGGAAGTTCGATCACTTTGTGTTCTTCCGATATCTGCTCTTCCTTCTATCGAACAGTCGCATCCATCGACAAGCTCATTTGTTCTCTACGATCCGGTTTCCTTCCTCTTGGACGGAGTTATCTCTCTACTGCGGGTTTTCCGATTTCTACCTTCCGATTTTTGTGATCGGTGGCAGCATATCGTTGATATTACGGAGAAGGATGCGGAAGCTTGGCTTGCGCAGCTGCCATTCCACCTTATACAGGCAATCACTGCATCGGAGGATCACCGGTTTTTCTCTCACTATGGTATTGACCTGCACGGAATTGCAAGGGCTGTTGTTAATTACCCTAATGGAGGAGGAGGAAGCACAATCACTCAGCAGGTTCATTGATTTCAAATCATTCTGTTTAATTCCCGCCACGATTACCGCTATTTCATTCCGGGTTGAACTCGGTGGCTAGCTAGAATTAGGTGTTCTAGATAGCCACCTAGCATTGCGCTGGCTGGTATAATCACAGATTCACAGATGAAAATTCTGACACATATTGTGATCTGTGATGAGGCTGTTTAGATGGAAATTTATTTTGCATTTGCAGAAGCTAGCACTAGCCTTACTTCTTAGCCAAGTGAATAAGTAATTATTCAAATGAAGCCTTTGATTGTGATTGATCCGGGCTTTCCATCTATGGGGTTTCCAATATATATAAATATAAATATATTAATGGAGGCCACATTGAAATATTGAATTTTTACTATTACAAACTTCAAATAATCGGATCTTACAATCGTTGCATTTGGTTGGTGTTTCCTTACCTTATTTTTTGGATGAGTGTCTTGATCCTTGGAAATATCTGATTGTAATGATCTCCACAATTTCCTTTTTTGTTAATAAACTTGAAACTGGCAATAAGGTCAAACCCGTAAGAGACAGCAATTAACTTTTTTGGGCATTATCTTTAACAATTAACTTGTTGATTTATATAACAAGTTAAGTTTTTTCTTATTTGACAGCTTGTGAAGAGAGTATTTCTGACCAGTGAGCGTACAATTTCAAGAAAGTTTGTTGAAGGACTATTATCTCTCATGGTAGAGAAGAGAATATCAAAATGGAAAATATTATATTCATACTTGAAAAAGGTATATAATCTTCACCTTCAAACCTTGTGTTGTAAATTTATTTACTTCCAAGTTTGTGTGTCGATTTAAGTTCATTAAGAATACCATTTGTATCCATGTCATGGATTATGGTAATGAGTTGATTGTCTAAATGCTAAGCTAGGGATTTGGTGCCTTGCAATACATACATAGACAAACTCAGAAGCGCACACATGGTTTCAACAAATATTGTGAAGAAAATGTTTTCTAATGAGGCTATTGCAGGGTTCTTCGGTTCACTTTGATTTGGGTTAAAGGATATCTGATTGTCAATTCAAGATAATCAATTTTTGTTTACTAGGTTGTGCTATTTTCTAAAAGATTGCATGCTATGTGGAATTTAAAAAAATGGTTATAGATTTTTTTCCTTCATATCTTTTATCCAAAACATAGGTCGATGGTCATGACACAACTTATGGGGGTTCAATGGGAGTGGGCTCCTAAAATTTTTGCTTCATCAAAATTGAGTGATTTTAGGTTAACTTTTCGAAAGATAGATATCAAATAAGATGCTACTTTAAGATTTAATCTTTCAATAAGGAATTTGTGATCTATTTCAAAAGTTTTCTATAGCCACAAGCTTCTATGGTTAATTACTAATATGGATAATGGGAGTCGGGAGAGCTCTTTTAATTAAGGCTAGTTAGCCGGCTTTATGATTGCTTGTTTTATTAGCTGCAAATTGATTTTGTAGAGGATGTACCACTTTGCTTTGAGCAGATGTTGGGAAAATGATTACAAATCCAAAATTATTTAGTGTAATCAAATAAGCAAGAAAAAATCTCCATGCCAATGTTTCTTTTTTAAGCGACTTTATGTACTATAAAAGGATTTGAGGACCCATACAAAGATGTTTATAGCTACTAGTTAAGTTAGATGAGGTTTGAATGCTGAAAAATAGGAAAAAAATTACAGCGAAATTCTCATGCCGCGTTGCCAACATTAGCTCTTTATTTGTAGTGTTAAAAAAAATGGTTACAAGAAGCTGGGTGGAGTTTTTTTATTCTCAACCTATTTGAAATATTTTATGATCGAGTAAAACATAGAAAATAATATATTAATTTGAATGAAAAAAAAATTATATGGTTGGACTCAATAACAAAAATTGCATTTTATTTGTCCATGCTCAAATATTTTTTCCCTTAGAATATCTATGATTGAATATGGTGTATTTTTATGTTTCATTTGAAGGATTGGATATTTGGAATTTTAAAAATAATTGGATCAATTTAAAATTGATCTTGAGTAAAAGCAAAAGAAAGAAAGCTAAACTACTTGATTTTGAGAAACTCATATGTTCTCAAAATTCATCCAACCTTCATTAGTGCTTTCCCAGCTGATAATAAAGTTGAGGAAATAAAAACTCTACTCTTTGAATTCAGGAATTGTTTGCTTAGACATAAGTTGAGATGCCAACTTATCCCTTAATATGATAGGTCAAAAATTGACAATTAATCTTTCTACAGCACCTTTCAAATAAGCTCTAAGGTGAATGAGATTAGAGATTAACGATCAAATGTTTGCATAGATTAAAAAGCTCAATAAAGGGGTTTTATTAGAGAAGAAAAAGATGTCAATTGGATAGGTAATATTTTCCCGTGAAGAATAATAGTCAAATGTTTATGGATCAACTTTTGGGACAGCAATATGATGTTTCCAAAAGTTTATGTTTCTCTTCTTGTATCAGAATTGTTAGTTAATAATACTTTCAATTGCGATATTATCTTTTATTGACGAATTGTTTGGCTACAATCAGATCAAAATAACTCAAGAAGATGAAAATTATATATCATACAAGATTCCTATCAATATATTCACTTGAACGGTCATGCTCTTTGACTTGAAAATTGTTGGAGCTACATATCAAAGGACTATTATTCGCATCTTTAATGGCTTGACCTCAAAATGAATCATCTCAAATATGCTTTCGGGGTTTCCTTAGAAAAATTTCTAGGGTGCATATACACTACATTGTAATTGAAATTGACCTCAACAAAATTAAAGGCGATCATTAAAATGCTGCATAAGAAAAACTGAAAAAGTCTTCACAAGCTTCGTTCTTTACAAGGATAACTCATATTCATTCAATGATTTATATAAAATTTGTCAGACGGATGTCAATCATTTGTGAACCTATTGAAGAAAATTGTTTGCTTTAAATGGGATAATTAATGTTAACAAACCTTTGATAGTATGAAGAGATATCTACTAAGTATGTCCATTCTTATGCCGTCAATTTCGAAGAAGCCTCTTATCTTGCATACAATGGAATTGAAGAGACTCTCGGAACATTATTGGTGTAGCATAATGATGAAAGGAAGGTGTATACTCTCTAATATATCAGTTGAAGACTGATAGAAGTGGAAGCATGGTATTCTCAAATCGAGAAGCATTATTTGTGGTTGATTTTTGCTACTAAAAAACTTCACCATTACTTGCTCTCTCATAAAATCACTTTAATATCAAATATTGATCTATTAAATTTCTTGATGACAAGACTAACATTGATAGGTTGTTGGGCAAGATGGGTAGTTATACTCTGTAAGTTAAGATTGCCTATATTGAGAGACCCCATTAGCTATGGCCTTCAATAAGATTTTTTGAAATAATTGGCTGTCCCACGTACTCATCTTATTCACTAGAATCGACATGGCATACGTCATAGAGAAGTCAAATAAATATGCCAATAACTCAGAAAAAGGTTACTGGATTTGGAACTGTTTTTGAACTTCTTTATGAGTTACAATCAGTTATGCAGTTCATTGCTTGACCTTTATACTGTTTAAGAGGGAAAGATATGACTTGTTTAAATGCCAACATAAAAAGATATTGAAAGCTAGCAGTCTTTTCTGTATGCTTTAACAACTGACATTGGCTGAGCACAGCCTCATATACTATCAGTGTCCAAATAGAACTTTTTTTTTTCTGAACCTGGGGTTAATTTGTTATCTATTTTTCTAATAATCACAAGACCATTCTACAGATGTACTGGGGAAATGGAATTTATGGTATTGAATCAGCCTCTCAGTTTTACTTTGGAAAGAGGCCTTCTTCTCTTTCTGTGGGGGAATCTGCAATGCTCGTTGGAATTCTACCTGGCCCTGAATTACTAAATCCGCTGAAGTACCCCAAAAGGTGAGTCAAGTTTATGCTTATTAGATATGTTTTCTATCTGAAATAGGCCTGCTTACTATCATCTTCCTTGTTAAAGAATTACGCGTGTCAGTTTGCTTTTTGTATCATGAAATTCCGTTCTCCTTGGCACCTTTTAGACTTCGTTTGGAACGGCTTTCATATTGCTTCTTAAAGCAGCTTCCTAGCACTAGGAAGCTGCTTTAAGAAGCAAAAAGAAAGCGGTCACAAATGAAGCCTTAGTTTTTGAAGATAACTAGATTTTTCCCTTTCATTCAGATCCAAGTCATCCCAGGTCAAGGTATTAAGGAGGATGGTTTCAGCTGGATATCTTGAGATGGAGAAAGCCATTCAGATTGCAAGAGAACCTTTCTACTTATGCTCTGAAAATAAGTTCGTAAGTTTCATTGTTTAGCAAATATTATATTTGAATCAAATGAATTCTCCTTTATTATGAAATCTATTTCTTTTCGTAGGATGTCCGATTATTGTTGTATAATTTTCATGACTCTTAACTGATAATGCGGTTTGTTTCATAACTCTTTCCTATCAAACCCAAACAGTAAATGCAAAATGGAGATAAGATGACACAAGGGAAATGATCAAGTACATGTAATCCTTAAAAGTAGATAATGGTGGTTCGGTTTTCATAAATTATCAGTGGCTGCCCTCATTTATTAAGTGGTTTTCCGTCAGTTGCTTTAGAAATTAAAAAATTGTTTTTTCCTCTGCCATTCCAATATATGTAACTAACAAAACACCACAAATTACTTCTTATAATAAACAAACTCCACAAAATAATTTAGCTTATCGAGTTTATTGGAATGAAATTAACCAAATAAGTTCCCTGCAAAATCATAAATTATGCTTCATATATTGTTCAACCATTAAATACAACTTAGGATGTCCATTTCCTTTACCGTAACTTATTTCTTATAGTATGTCCTCCATACCGGTAGGAACGCTTTGCTTGTTTTGCGCGTGCAAGCTGTTCCTAACACTTCTATGGTGCAAATTATTCAATTTTTTTATATTAAAATGAGCAAGTAGCACTCATATTTATATCTGATCAAACTTTTCTAATCCATGTTTAGGTTTAATATATACATATTTAATTTTTTTAATATTATTTATTTATTTTTAAATAGAGAGATTTGCTGATATTGGTGAAATTTCTTGAAATCAAATTATGCATTTTAAACTTTAAAAAATTTATATGATATCAAAATAGATGCTATTAAGGGATAAGGCTTAGTGATATTTTTCATTTAAATGCAATGAATGGTAATTTATCCTTAATATATATAATTTATATTTTATTAACTTCATTTTTATGGATACGCTATGCAACATATCTTGGATGCACAAAGCACGCACTACAAACTACACAAAATAGAAGCACATGAATTTCACTCATAGACACCCGATATGAAGAGAAAAAAACTTAAGCACATTAATTACACACACATTTAATATGGTCCATCCACTACAAAGCTTTAAAAAACTCAACTTTTGTCCTCTCAGACAGCCATTAATATCCATTAGGATTTTTTTTTTGAATGGGGGGCCCACTGCCATCCCCGAAAGAGAACTTGGTGGTGTGACTAATCCTCGGCTAACCTAGAAGAGGTATCCACCACAGAAACCTTCTAGCCCGCACTTGATTGGACCCCACTTAAAAGGAGTTGCTGCTCGAGGGAAATCGAGTACGGGTTGGAGGGTTCCCAACCATACTCGCCCACCAACCAAACTAATTAACGGTGGGTTTTTAGGATCTTTCTTAATGTATAGTTTTCGTTGTGTTCAATGCATATATAGTTATATACCATGCAAGCTAATAATCAAAGCAAACCATAATGGGGGTTGGTGGTAGAATTTTCGGTATAATAGAAAAGATTGATTTCACAATCACTGGCATGGAACAATTAGTTGATTTTCTTTTCATCCTTCATAAAATCACAGTGGTCACTTGAGAAATGGTCTCGTTGATCAACAAATAATACGATTTTCCGGGTGGTTATTGAACCTTAGTGCTGCTATTATAACTAACACAATTGCAGAGCATAGAAATGAAAGAAACTCTCATGCTTTTCCTTCAAATATTAATGCTTTGAAAGTCATAAAATTGTTTGATTGGCATGATGCAATTCTTTATTTACTTCACCTTGTGATATACGAAGATTTTTATTTTTATTTTTTTTTTTTGTTTTTATATACGAAGATGACTTGATTGACATCATGATATTTCCTTTCAGAAGTGTGCGAAGGAGTTGATCAAGTTCTGAATAGTTGCCGACAGCGATCCCTACTTAGGACATTTTTTTTCAATCCTGGTAAGCTTCTTCTTCAACTTGACTAATTTTAGCTGTTGTTCTTGGATGATTAATGCATCTTAACTAATCAGATTCTCTGTAATTTATATTTTTATGAATTCAATTCACTTTAAACTTAATTTAGCCCTACAAACATTTCATAAATAAGATGACGTTGGGATGTGGCGAAGAAAGTGCTATATTATGATTCAAATCATAATTGATTAATTGGGTTGGCTTATATGTGAAACTAGACTGATCATAACTTTCCGATTCATTGCCTATTGGTCGGTATTCTACAACAACAATAACAACATCAACTCTTTGTCCCACCACTTGGGGTCGGCTACATGAATCCTTTTTCTCTATTGTGTCATGTTAAAAGTCAAATTCTCGTTTAAATCTAATAAAGAAATATCATTTCTAATATTTTCTAACCAAGTCTTTTTAAGTCTACCTCTACATTTCTTAACATAAGTCAAATCTAATACATATACTTTTCTAATCGGGTCATCAGAAGGCTGCCATTTTATGTGACCAAACCATCTAAGGCGACTCTCTCTAATCTTATTTTCCACTGGAGCTACTCCAACCTTTCATGTATATTCTCATTTCGTATCATATCTCTAAGGGTAAAGCCACTCATCCACTTGAGCATCCTCATCTTTGCAATACTTAACTTAGCATTATGCTTCTCTTTTAATGGCCAACATTTAGCACCATAAAACATTGTAGGTATAACTCGCTTCCATAGTAGACCTGCTCGGCATGAATCTAAATTGATTATGAGAAACATTAGTATCACGCCGCAACCTACGCTCCATAACTCTTTCCTAAAGTTTTAAAGTATGACACATTAACTTAATACCTCTAATTCACACAATCTTGTGCATCACATTTATTCTTAAAAATAGGAATTAACACACTCATTCTCCACTCATCTGTCATCTTTTTAGGCACAAAATAGTATTAAAAAGTGTAGTAAGCCAAGAAATTTCTTCATCTCCTAAACATTTCCGCACCTCTATTGGAATATTATCAGGTTCAACAGTTTTTCCACATTTCATTTTTTTTAATGTCTCTCTAACTTTGGTTTTACTATCACGCTAATAAAAATAGAAATCTTTATTTTCATTTAGTGTGCTAAGATCACTAAAGTCAATCGTATTTTCATATTCTTCATTAAAAAATTTAGCAAAATATTTCATCCACCTTTGTTGAATATCATCTTATAAGAAAAATACTTTTATATCTCCTTCCTTTATACACTTCCCTTGAACTAAATCCTTACTACTCATATCTCTTTGTCTTGTCGGTATTCTAGCTAGGGTTAATTTGGTGTAGGGTTATGATTGTTTGTGATAAAGATGTTTTTGGGTTAGATTTTCTTGTAAATTGTGATTCTATGCATTTGCTGAACTAGGCTTCGTTTAGGATGACTTTTTTATTGCTTTTTTGAAACATAGTTTTAGCACAAATTTTTAATACAAAAATTAAAATTTTGTATTAAAAAATTACTTAATAACACTTGAATTATTACTATTTGAAAGTCGTCCCAAATGAAGCCTTAGTAGTTACTGAAATTCTAGTGTTTTTCATAAATATACAAATACTATTCATGATTAAAGTAGCAAGTGTTTTCTAGTAATTATTTCAATGCTCATATCTATCAGAAGATAAAAAACAATGTCACTTGAATTATTACTATTTGACTGTTTATTAATTAGGTAACAGTCCCAGTTAACCATTTGTTACTATATGTTAAAAATACCTGAATCTATGAACTGAAAGCTTACCTTATTTCAATTTCTATGGAAAATATTTTATTATGTCTTTCATTAATGGGGAATCTTGCTTTTTTTCAAGGCAATCAAGAGGTAAACACATGTTTAAGGGTTTGATAAAGAGTATGAGAGAAAGTATTGTGTTAAAATTATTCTCTGTGGAGATAGAGAAAAGATAAAGAAACATAGATGGAGACAAATATTTATAATATGCTGGTCACAAATGCATGTCCACTATAATGGCAAATAAAGGCATTAGTGTCAGGTCAATTTCGGGTTGAATCCGAACCTAACCCGTGACTCGATTTTGACAGCCATAAAGGAAACAAAGTAAGTGATGTGAAACTACTAGGAGTTAACTTTAGAAATTAGAACGACAATTGATTAAAGCGTTGCTCATGAAAATTTATTGCTAGCACATAAAAGAGACTTATAAATTTGAAGAATTCAACTTGCTTAGGCCAAAGAAGTGCAATAGAAAATAACCAAACAATTCCTTCAAAGTTCAAGGCAATATTAAATGCAAACTACACATAACATAGTCCAACGTTTAACAACGTGAGGTTCACCTCAAGGGCCTTCTAGCTCAACTACTTGTAGGCTTTAGCGGAGGAAGATGAACCATACGAAGAAAGATATTACCACTAGGAAGACGGCGTCGAAGACCTTCGTTGGTGGAGCGGTAGCCGGTGGAGATGAGGGTGGTGGGTGGCCGACGATGATCCAATCGTAGTCTGAAAATTGACCGTCGACGATGTGCGCAAGGGTGGGGAGAATTTGATCCAAGTAACTTTCTACAGTGCCGTCGTGGTCAAACCCCACGTCGAAGAACGGGGATCGAAGAATATGGATGTTTCCGTAGACGTCGAACACAAGTCCTCCTTCAAGCTCGGGATCCGCCATGCATTCTTGCCGGTGTTGAAAGAGCACTAATGAGGAGAAAAGAGGTACGAAGTGGTGAGGGAGAGCCCTTGTAGTTTGAGAAGAAGGAAGGGGGAGAAGAGAGGGGCGGCGGGATTTCCAAGGGGAAGGGGGCTGACGGGTTCAAGGGGGAGAGGGCTCGGGTTAGGGGAAATTAGGTTTAGTGGAGTGTTTAGGGATTTAACGAAATTTGAATTTTAATCTCAGATTTAATTAATTAGGAGGGACTTGATTTGAATTTTAAAAATTCAAACCAAAGGAATTAATGCCTTGAATGGGGGAGTTAATGGGGGGGAGGCCGGCGGTTTCTAGAGGGAGAGGGAGGGGGTTGAAAAC